TTCGGTTCGGGTAAGGGCATTGCCTTCACACAATACCCGACAACCCCTAGGCTACACTATGATTTACAACATCTGTCTGCTATAGGGAAAAAGGCACCAGTTGATGTGTCAGTAATATGAGACATTGCTGCTGTAAAACGGGGTTAAATATTTGATAGGCCTATGGTAAGCCTCAGTTTTAATTTAGAAGTGTGATATAACTGTTACACGTCCTTTAGTTCCGTTATCAGCCAATTTTATATTTATAATTAACTATCGCCATAGGGGCTCAGCCTGTGATCGATTTACTTTTTCGTTTCGATGTCCCCAGAGACCAGAACTCCATCCTTTCTCATTAAAAAATATGTATCTATACTACAGTATTATAAAACGTGGTGGTGAGAGTCAGTCTCCACTATATCACATCCATTTTTTTCAACCGCTAAAAATGTTAAACCGATGTAGTCAATATGAAGACCTATGAACGTTTTAGGTTTATTAACTACCCTTACTTGGACAAATGTCGTACGTGGAAAGTCTATTAAAACTGTGTAGTGGGGAAAATATCATAATTAATTTGGTTCTAAAACATGTTACTATTATTATACGGACTTTAAAAAAAAATAATACTGCAAGCTAAATGTTAATTATTATTACTTTAAACGGTAGGAGTTGATCCAACTCCAGAAACGTTGAGTATCCCAAAACACAAGAAACATTGATGAAGTTCAAATAATAATAATGGTGTAACAATAGTCTTGTGAATATTTGTTTACGAAACCAGTAGGGACCTGTACAAAGTTTCTGTGTTTTGGACGATTTTGATATTGTGATATCAAATTTACACTGCTTAACGTATAATTGAAATAGCCTTCAAAATACACAGCCTTTTATAATACTATATGTTTATAAATGTTCACAAATCAATGGGAAAAAATAACCAAAATGGGTATTTGAATTTTTTACCAGCGGGAATATATTACAAACAATTAAAAATCCGAAACGACCTTCACCCCCAACATGGTGATTTATTATATCACAAGTGTGTTTCATACATAATTGAAGTTCATTACCTAAACAATATCCTTTGTTTGGTGATTTCAGAGATAGAATTATGTTATGTGATATGAATGTATGTTATGTGATTGTGGCCAATTAACAATAATTGTGTTGATAATGTTCTTGTAATATTATATTGAAATACAACTTATATCGTACTATATCTCAATGAATGCACTTTGAAAAACTACGCTATTAAGTAAAATTTGTTTACTTTTAAAGTTTTAGTAACACACATCTAAACACATCTAATAATTTGTACTTTACGTTTTCTTACCGCGGCAAGACCTGTATTTGTTTTTTTTTTGTTTTTAGCGAATTTCCCTATAGGGAAGTAGCTATTAGCGAATTTCCCTATAGGGAAGTAGCTATTACCGTAGGTGGCACGGTAAGACCTAGACCCGGGACCGATTTACTTTTTCATTTTGATGTCCCCAGAGGCCAAAAACACCATTCGTTCAAATTTTTATATATATATATATAAATATATAGACTTATATATATATATATATACGTCCGTGAACGCGATAACTTGAGTAATTTTTGTCCGATTTTGATGAAATTTGGTTTAAAGGTGTAAAGCGGGATAAACTTGAATGAGTTCGCGAACCAGCATGATCGGACCATGGGAACGGGGCTTTACGGGGGGTTTTATGGGGTAAAAATTGGTTTTTCTCACTTTTGACCCTCAAAACACAAAATTTTCCAATTTCTCTTTAGACCGTTTTAAAGAGCTTAAAAAACAATTAATTTAGTATATAAATGTATTTTTGTTCGATTAATAGTAACGGAGAAAATTAAAAAAAATTGTAAATTTAAAATTCCCATGTTATTCTTATGGAGAATATTGTCAAAAGTTGTAGTTTGCTTGTTTATGGATATATTTTGTATTTTGATTTATTTATTTATTTTGTACTAAGCTATCAATATTTTACAAAAAAACACACTTTATTAGTTTCCTTGTAGCAGCAAACCTAGGTACTCGTTAAACCTAATGTTATTAAAATAGATTTAATTGAAAATCAATTAAGACAAATGGAAATTCGCTTAGTCGGCCGGTTTGCTGCGGCGGGGGTATTTATAAGTCTCAGTTATCTTTCAGAGGTACAGTATAAGTATTAAACTTTATGGGCTTTATTTAAAAAGTGATTCACATATTTCATTTTAGGTAACACATTTAATTTAATTAAATAAACACAAATGCATAGTATTTTTAATATAATTATTTAAAAATTATAGGTAAGCCAATTCAACTAACCTCCTCAGTGCCTAAAATATAAAAAATCGTCTACAATATAAACTATATTCGCGATTTAAATTATTCAATCGTTGATTCACTATTTTTTTGCTTTTATTAACTGTAGATATGTGCTTTGTTCTTTGTGCATGTTATTATTTATACATTTTCATTACTATTTACACTCATTATATTCATGGTTATACGTAATAAATACTATTTTTACACAATTTTTTTAAATTTCATTTACCACTATTTCAATTTAAGTATCACATCACTTTGTAAAAAGTGTAATGCAAAATGCCTGAATTATTTTGCAATGCAGATTTGTCACATTATTTTTCAAACCAGATAACGAGAACCCCAGCGTATGCAGGAGTATATTTTCTTTTAACGCATTAAAAAAACATTTATTTGTATGCAGCAGAACAAAATTTTTGACCAGGGTGTTTTATATTTTTATACATTGGGTTGTCTGTAGCTGCCGATGTGGGGTCTTCATTTGCTAAATCATAGGGTCATAAACGAGGGATCGTACACTTTCACCGTACCACAGCTTACAAAAGCCGAGATATCCTCGCGGTCACGTCCCTGTGGGCATTGACTATGCAGCGGGGGTGTTTTACAGTCTGGGAGATCCAAACAACAGTTTGGACTCAACAAGTTTTCTTTGTACTGTACATAAGCAAATAATAAATCATTTTTCTGTTAATTCAATTTATCTTTCGATTATGTGTTTGGAGTAAAGAAATTACTAACCTTCACTAAGCGTTGTTATTGTTAAAGATTTTTACGATGATCATTTTTAGAATGAATACATTTTGCACTATTTGCTTTAGAATTATAAGGACCATCCATCACAGAAGAATTTCAATCAGAATTGATTTTTTTTTCAAAAATCCATTTCTCGGTTTTGTCATAGTTTTATGGGAAAATAACATAAGTTTCAAGAACTTTTGAACCGTAGTTTTTACCGGAATATGGGGCTGCACTAGATGTTGTTAAGAATAAAAAGGATTATCACATACGAGTACTTAATTCAATCAAAACAGGGGTTTTCTTTAGAAATTAAAATTTTTTCTTGTATTAAGGGATATTTTGTTGAAATACCATAATTTACAATGGAATTTTAACCGTAATTTTTACAGAAATTGGAGTTGTACTATTTTGTTCTAAGTTACAACATACTACAGTACTATTTTTTTTCAAAATCGTTCAGTGATTTCAGACATCAATTTAGTGGATATATCCACTCAAAACTCATACTCGAAAATTTTGGGGTAAACAATACTTTATCCATGTACTAACTAATATGGGGAGAAATTAAAAATAAGTTGTCAAAGATTTGCTATACCCTCCTGAATAAACTCGTACCGTACCAAGCATACGGACGGTACGTGCAAATGAGTGAACAAAACGCGGTATCGCGCGCGCAGCAGTAGCCTACTACATCAGGAGCAATGACCTACATCTCATTCACACAGCTGCGCCGCCGCCGCCGAGTACATCGCGAGCACGGGCAATCGTTCACTCCGCTCCGCATCGCCGAGTCTAGTCCAACAGTTTAGTCTAGTCTAGTCCGCCGCTAAGCTCAGTCCAGTCCAGTTGGCAGCAACTGCAGCGCGCCAGGCGACGGTTCCATGAACTTCGTGGTGACGGTGCTGCGATCTAAGTAGAGGGGTCAGTACTACGTGCATCCACCGTGCACAACAGAGTACATTGTAGAAATTTCCTGTTCACGCGTCCTCCCGCATAGTCTTCAATCTAGTAGTGTTATATAGTCAATGGTAATAGCCCTTTAAACAAAACGGCCTTTGCTTTAAAAATTACATTTCAATAGTTATTGCTAATTATTTTATTTTCTCAGTACCGGCGACTGAGCCTTGCTCGGTTGTGGTTAATTGGTTTTAACCCTTTCTGATATAGCAGACGGTGGTCGGATATATTTGCCGATTATGACATTTAATTGTTACCTATAGTTGATTGTCTATGACATCATTAATCTTTTGTCTTTGTTTACTTTTTCCTTGTTATTTTGTTGAACCAACTTAGTTACTTGAGCAACCCATAAGAAGGCCACAATGTTATATTTTAAAATGAGCTTTGTAGCAAAATCGGAATACGAATCTTCCTGAGGTAATGGCTGTCCCCAACTACGTTTTTTTAGGGCTCCCTAATTCCAAAATGTAGTCAAAATCCTTTCACTCTCGATTTCAGGATAAATATTACAGACAGACAGACAAACAGATATAGCTCAAATTGTAGTATAGGATAGGATAAAATAGGAAAATTTTATTATAAAAAACTGCTCGGCCAATTTTGATCAAAATTAATTTTTTAGGTTGCTAGTTCTTTTCTATGGAAAAAAGGTACAACCCTTATTGCTTTAAGAATTACGGTAAACAAAATTATTGCAACTTTTGTGATTTCCCCTATAAAATATCATAGTACTCCCACTGTTACCTGTAATAAGGGTTGTTGACAAGCTAATGGAAGAAAGTATGTATCAGATTGCTGATACCGTTTGTTTTTTACTGAATTTATAAGTTAAGAATAGTTTGTTAAGAGACAATCTCTCCAGAGTGATTCTTCAAGTTAATGACTCATAGCTCACCAAAAACGTGCCCAAAACCAAGTGTGTTCAAGTTAACATCTTTGACAGTAGGCTACGGTAACAAAGTAGTCTAATAACAACTGTCAATCCATAACTCAAAATATTACTTACATTCAGAATCTCTTCACTACAAGATCTCTTTTTCAACTGTCCAAGCTCACAAAAGCCTCTTGCAGGCTTCACGGTTTTGTTGAAAATGTGTTTCTGAAACAAGGAATAATACAAACTCACAGTTTGTCTGATCAGATGACTGAATTCTTAAAAAGGAAGGTGATTTGGTTTCATAATAAAGAGTTTGTTTCATCTGTTGATAATAAGTCACATGATAGTAGTTTAGAGTTAACCTACCCAGCTTTGTGCAGCTAACTGTCTTACCTTGATAGAATCTCCAATACTACGTGCCCTGTTGTTGTTGGGTGTGCCATTGCCATTTTCCCGATTGAACTGTTTGACCAGTCGCCGCTTCTTGCTGCTCTCTGGGAGAGACTGAATGTGAGCATACAGCTGTGCGAGAGCTGCCTCTGTAGGATTGGTTGTATTCTCCTGCGCAGTTCTCTCTCGGTCCACAAAGCTGAACACTGTTGTTGCAGCACTGCTTTCATTCAGCTGTAATGTTAAATTTTAGTTTAATTAATTTGAAAAGCTTTCATCTGTTATGTGATTAAAACACAAATCAACAGCTTTCATAAAATAATATTTTTAACATCTGGCACTTATAACAGACAATTTTTTCTGTATATTACCAGGTAGCATAATAATGCAATATTGATGTCTGAATGAAAATTATTTCTGAGAAACTTTCAATTTTTGTTAAAAAGTGGTGAAACTATGGCCAACATTTCAATCGTTCACGTTCAAAACCATCAAAATTAAGTACTATACAGTAGAACCTCTTTAGTCCGAACCCCTGTAATTCGAACGTCCACTAATCCGAGCGACTCATTGCTGTACTCAATACACAGTACAGTAGTTCTTCATTGTATACTGTATTTATTGATATACGCACTATAGTTACTTGTAAATTGTAATGTATAGTACTGTTTATTCCCTATATTTACTACTGTATTAAATAAACACTGTATTTTAGTTTATAAAGCATTTTTCACTTTTCCCTAGCTTTGTTATGTATAAACAACAATATGTTCTGTAATCCAAACTATTCAATAATCCGAACTACCCTCGGTCCCATTTAGTTCGGATTAAAGAGGTTCTACTGTACTTACAAAGTTCTCAGGAGACCGTTTTCTTCTTTCCCAGTACATCTTAATATCTGTAGCCAGAGAAGAAGGAATGTTGAAGAGCTCAGGTCCTGCTGATATCATAAATGCCACTACTTTGCTTAGCATTTGTGAAGTAGCATGGAACGCTTCCGGCTGAAGCTAAACGACAAAAAAATGCTTATGATGAAATATGTATTGGGATGATTAACTAATCAACTACTTAAATTAAACATAATTGACTCAATCAATTATTAAGCGCTTTTTTAGTGTTTGGTCAGTTGAGCATGAAAACTAACACTGTTACAAATTTAATTTTAGTTAAAAAAGATATATAATTATTTATATTTTTTGAAAATAATTTTTCAGATCATTATGTGGGCCTATTTGCATTTTTACTAACATAGAAATACCAACCACCTACTTCAAAAAGGCATACCTACACACACAGAATGAAGAACTTAAAACTTGGGTTTCTAAAACCAGTAGGCCCTAAAGCCACCTTTAATAATCCTGATCTGTAACTACATTCAACATATCATAACAAATGATTTTAGACAATAGAATATCTTTCTAAAATTAAAAGCTATTTGATGTATAATAACAAATTTTCACTAACCTTCCTGGGACAGAGCAGGTGTGGTGTGAACAACGTTGCCAGATTGTCAGCAGACATCTTATTTTCATTCTCATGACTCGCGACCAAGTGCAAAAGTTCCATAATATCCCTTAAAACTTTCCAGTTTTCAGAGGGCAGCAATAAGAAAAGAAGTTGCAAAGCTTGTAGTAAACGGTCATCATTTGGCTTTTGCGTACAGAGGTCTAGAAAAAATAAATAAAGACGATTCATGTTTACAATTAAAATGAAAAATGTTAAACTTATAGAACAATCTGTCTTATGTTTATGGTTTGTTCTGCACAGCACCTATCAGTAGGAGGACAGCACCATAAGATTTACATCCTCAAAGTAGTTTGTCATTTGGGAAGGAAGAAAGTTTAGTTATACCCATAAAATCTTGTCCTAAAGTTAGGTGAGCTTCTTTCAATCGTTGGTTTCCATTTGTTGGTGCACTCAGGAAGGGGTGAAGATTAAAAAATTAAAAAATAAATGGTATCAGCAGGGAATGTTGCTGAAAGTCAACAGTCCCGGAAGATCAAATAATTTATACCTGTGCCGCTAGGTCAAAAACTACAATGTTTGCAGTGTCTGTAGATCAAAAGTCCCAGTAAGTCAAATAGTACAGTCCGAGCTAAAAACGTGGTCTATGTTAAAGCAATTGACTTATTGGGAATTTGACCTAATGCAACAGCAGTTTTAATATAACGAAATACGGTAAAATACAAGTTCAGTTTCGCTGAGTCAACAGTGCCGGAAGATCAAAAGCAATAAAAGTGAACGTCGATTCAGTGTAAAGTAGACCTCCTGCAACGCTTACTACACCAACAAAACTCGCTTTTAGTTACTTCGTGTTTTGTCATAATTAGAATAGAGCTAAAATTATCATATTTGGTACATAGCTTATCTATTAATGCTTCTTGCCAACTGTTTGGTCAACACTGTAAATAGGTATAGTTTATGTAATGAAAAGCCTTTCGTCAAAATTTGTGGCATAAAATACACGCAAGGACGATCTGAAAATTTCTGGTTATTATATACGTTTGTAAAAGGAGATCCATTTAATTGTAGAACTATGTTATGAGTTATAATGTAGTCTACATATAAACTGTGTAAATGTATTACGCCTCGGAAGGGTTGAAACCTGTCCAAACTATCATATATATTATTAAAACGTAAATGGGGGTTTTTTCACGATTCTGAATCAACCAGACGATGGATGTGTTGAAAGAAAGGCAATTTTGAGAACTAGGGGATTTCAAAGCCATAATTTATAATTAGTGTCCCAGTTTTTTTTATAAATTAAGTTTTAGTTTTTAAAAAGTCTAGCAGCCGATGCCTAACCTTCTCCAATAAGTCAATGCTTCTAGCTAGCTTTTAGTACAATATAATTTGCTTAACACAACAGCTGTAACATTCAGCATTTGTGACACAAATTCAGCATTTGGAAGAAAATTCAAATACATACTTATGGTTGGTTTATTTATACTATGTGTAATGCTGACCATTGATACATTTAATTCTTCGGTACGAGGATGGTAGATTAATTAAATATGCATAGTAAAATACAGTAGTAGGATGTTCAAATTATTTTTTAAAGTATTCTTTGTAATCATCGATTTGTTTTAGTCCAATATAATTTGTTTTAACTAACAGCTGGTTGAATGTGCTATGTATACTTATAAAAGGCAAAGCCCTCACTGACACACTCACTCTCACTCACTCATCATCACTAATTCTCCCACTTCCCATTTACCTAGGAGGCTGAAATTCGATACACCGATTCTTTGGGCATTAAATAGGAAAACTAAGTAATTTTTATTATGATAGGGCATTCGAGCTTCGCCCCAGTGGCTCTGGAGTTTCCCATGTTAACCTTATGATTTTTCATATTTAAAAGGAATTAATGAATCTTAACAGCTGTGTCAATTAAACAATTTATGACAACAGCTAGTTTGCAACCAAAAGCTGAAAGAGCGTTTCGAACGAACTTCAACCTGGAGGCGAGTTAACCCCAAGGCAAGTGAGCTCAGCGAACGAGCTCCAACCTAAAGGTGAGTGAGCGTAGCGAACGAACTTCAACCAGGACGTGATTGAGCCATGCGAACGAGCTCATCTTGAAAATTAATTAGTTAACGGGGCAAAGCCAGCGGGTACAGCTAGTTATTCTACAGAATTATTAGGTTTTTAGCGAATTTCGCATATATGGAATAAGCTATTACCGTAGTACTCATGGCAACACCTGGACCTGGGACCGATGTAATTTTTCGTTTTGAGTCCCTAGAGGCCAAAAACACCATCCTTTCAAATTCATATATATGTAAGTGTATGAGACATTTTGGGGACTTGACTTTTTCGGGTCTCAAGAATTTATACGAAAATACACTATTGCAATATTTTGAGGACTTGAATTTCCGTATGTGTATAAGACATTCTGGGCACTTTACTTTTTCGGGTTAGTACTTTTCGAGGACCTGTGCAATTTATTCCATTCCAAATGCAGCGCGTTATCGATCTTCACCCTTGAGTGGGCCTCCCATTCACTGACGGAATGTCTCGTGGCGTATGACGACCGGATATAAATAGTCACTTTAGGCCAGGCGCACACAGGCGATTTTGAGTTGCGCAACAGTTGCCCGACTAATCGGGGGACTGTTGCACAACTCTCTCGGAGACTCTGAAGTCTAGCGACAGTTGAGCTGGAGTGCGCACACAGGCAACTTTTTAGTCGCGGATCTAGTCTAGAGACGTGTTGGAAATACATTCGTTACAGCGTTCCGAATGGATTTCAATGATACAGCCGTAGTATGTGCTTTGTTGCTGAAGTTACGCTCGCGAAAGAAAAAGAGAAGATACTGGGTTCATCCCATATATATGTGAAAGGACAGTTTCAATGACTTTAAATATAGTCGGCCTCTTCTCAACTTCATCAATTAATTGTTCGACATCCTCATCACGCACACTCATACTTGTAATTTTCTAAAATCTTCACACAACAAGAGAGCAAACACTAGTGACAGTTCTGGCCACGAGTAGTTGAACTCCTGGGGTGAGACTGAGCGACACAGCGACAATTTAGTTGCATGTGTGCGCATCTACACTTGATTCAATGGATACCAAACCTGGAGCGATAGTCCCGCAACAATTGAGTCGCAGAGCAGTCGCTGGCAAATTGGGTCCGGGAACATCGGTTGCAACAGTTGCGCGACTGTCCCCAGACTGTTTCCTTCGTGTGCGCACTCCAATTTAAAACAATGTTGAACATTTTAGTCGGGCAACTGTTGCGTGACTCAAAATCGCCTGTGTGCGCCTGGCCTTACACTCACTTATCTCGTTATTTTTTTTTTCAGCATATTCGTTGACCCGTCTGCAGGTCTTATGTTGATGGGCTGTCAGAGCGTCTGTTGTAATAACTTGAATTCCTTATGCATGTTTGCTGCTGATTACGGTGAAATATTGTTAGAAATTCCACCTAATCTTTAAAGTTACCCATAAAATTCATAGAAATAATAATATTTAACTGTTTGACGAGTACTCCTATTGTATTCAAAATACTGTATACTGTATCCCCTATTGTATCCAATCCACTGTCACGTTTCGTATTTTGTATACTACCGTTAATTTACACGGGTAAATTGTTGTGCAGAAATATTCCACATACAACTGCAATACCAGTGGCAGTAGCAATACCAGTGGCAGTAGCCAAAGTTCCTGTCGCGACCAGATCTGGTTGGGTATAGGTGAGGGGGTTTGCAAGGGCACTGTTTCGAAACCACACGTTCGATATAAGCATTGAGTATACACGTCAGTACATACGTGTATACCCAATGATATAAGCAACGGTTCTTGCAATTTATTGCTTATTGTTTTTTAGAGTTGTTTTCGGACTTACTCTGTTTTCGGACTTACTCACACTCGTATAAGGTTTTCCACGATTGTCATTGATAATGTAGCCATGTTGCTTTGAAATAGCGACCATACAAATGTATGCATTTTAAGCCAAGTATGAATGGAGATGAGTGTGGGATGAGTGGAGCGATCTTGTTGTCCTGTTTGTGACTAAGGCCGACATAATCCTTGGACACAGATGTTAATTGATAGTGCATACAGTCAATTAATAGCAGCAGAGGTCAAGTTTGGTATCAAATTAAAGTTTTTATTCATAAAAATACATTTGCCGCAAACCCAAACTCAAACGATGATGATGATAATAACGTTAATAATGTCGCTAAAACGTATCGTTTGAAATTTAACAGCTGAAAATAAGTGAAATAGAAAAGGTTTTGGTTAAATCCATCAAATTGTAATTGGACACTAGTAAATACTAGTGCACTTGTTGCTACCTCCCCCCTTCGGTTTCATGTATTCCTCTCAATCAGTTCAAACCTAGGAGGATTAAACATTAATGTTAATTAATGTTAAATCCTCCTAGATTCAAACCTGAAACACCCAGATCGAAACTCGCCTGTCGTTATTTTACCATCGCCTTTTTTTAAATATATTTTTTTTTTAAGAAATATATTGATTTACTTTGGATTTTAAACATGTTAACGTTTTATTTTGTTAAAGATTTATGGTGATACGTAAATATTGTGGTGTAGTAAAGTATATTATATTGTAGTTAAGTGTTAAATTTTGAAATTTTAGGGTGAATCGAGATGAATCTTTTTTTATAACATGGGTCTCTCCTACCTTAACATACATACCAAGTTTCATAAACATCGGTTGGAAAAGTGCAAAGATAAATATTTGTATGTAAAAAATACAAAATGGTGGATATCTGGTTAACGAAACGATTTTGGAAAAAAATGTTATCCTTGATTTTCTGTTTATTTTGACCCAAGGAATTACTAGGTAAAGTATCTCCCCGCTTATTTTAACACCCTGTTTATGATGTATTCTTATAAGTGAAAAATGTAAGCTGGTAATACAGAAAGATGTTTTATAAATAATATGAATGTACTGATTATTTGTATATTCATCTTTTTCTTGTCCTTAGAACTGTAAATTAAAAGTCCACTCAGCAGTCGCATCGTACGATGTAGTTCTTTCCATGTGTTGCGAAACGCTAAATTTGCCGTCCTCTTCAACCCAAGTTATCTATTGAACCAGTTATTGTAAAAAATTAAAAAAAAAATATTTTACGCATCGCACTTTTAGCTACAACTTTGCCACAGACAAAACATCTCTCTAACCCAAAAACAAACAAAAATCTCGCATGCTAACTTTTTCATGTTAGAAATCACGATTTAAAAATATTTCACCATACATATCAATTTCGGTAAATAATTAAAGTTCCAACAAAACTGTCATCGAGTAGGACTAACCAAGAAGCTCTGTGCCAACTTTCAAAATTTTAGCACAACTTTAAGTACACCAAAACACGAAATTGTTGAAGTCATGCGTCGAGAGGACTATCGCTGTTTTTAAAAGATTATACTTTTGACCTTCCGGCACTGTTGACTCAGCGAAACTGAACTTATATTTTATCTTATTTCGTTGTATTAAAACTGCTGTTGCATTAGGTCAAATTCCCAATAAGTCAATTGCTTTAACATAGACTACGTTTTTAGCCCGGACTGTACTATTTGACTTACTGGGATTTTTGATCTACAGACACTGCAAACATTGTAGGCCTAGTTTTTGACCTAGCGGCACAGGTATAAATTATTTGACCTTCCGGGACTGTTGACTTTCTGCAACGCGTCCGTATCAGCATTCTGACACATACTGTCTCCCATAAGCTTGTCAACAACCTTTATCATGGGTAAGTGGTATGATATTTAAAAAGATTACTGTTTAGTTTAAAAAATCACAAAAGTTGCAATAACTTTTGAACCGTAATTGTTACAGCAATGGGGTTGTTGTACTATTCTTTTTAGAATTATAAGGACCATAACATATTAATTTTGATCAAAACCAGCTTTTCTAAAAAAATCCGATTTTTCTGTTATTTTATGGGGTTTTATGGGAAAATCCCCATTAAAGATCTAAATTTCAAAAAAATAAAAAAAACTTTCAAAATTTTAAGGACCATGACATAGGCCTACCAAGTTATATAAAAACCGGTTTTTTCTAAATTCCTATTTTTTGTTATTTTATGGGGTTTTTATGGGAAAATAACATAATTTACCTACAATAACTTTTTAACCGTAATTTTTACAAAAATGAAAGTCGTACCATTGTTTTCAGAATTTAAAAGGCTACAACATACTAAATCTTTATCAAAATCGTTAGGGGCATTTTTGAGAAAATCTGATTTCCATTATTTTATGGGTTTTTATGGGAAAATCAACATTAAAAATCAAAATTTAAAACAAATTTTAAAAAAACGCCTGGAGATACCATGCATTAGAACCTACACACTAAATTTCATCGAAATCGGACCACAGGTGTAGTCCCTAGCTCTGTACACATCCAGACACACACACAGACATCACTTTGAAAACCATTTTTTTGGGTCCAGGGGGACCCAAAACAGATGTATTCACTCAAAACTCAAACTCGAAAATTTTGACGAAAACAATACTTTATATAGGCCTACAACAATATTTAAAATTATAACAACAATAAAAAACAAACGTACAACAATAACTAATTCAAGATTTACAACAATAATTCAAATACATAAACAATAGTTTACAATTTGCAACAATAATTGAAAAATGTATAACAACCATCTTTAAGACTAGGCCAATAGGCAACCTTGTTTTATCTTGACTCCAGTTCAATTAGACAAGGTTGTTTAACACGTCCGCTACTGAGCGTTGCATATATGCGACGCCACGGTCATTGTCACAGACCAAGGTATACATTTGAATCTTAAACATAGACCGGCCCACACTTGGTTAACAGTACACTCAGACCACGGGCGAAAACCTGTAAAACAGTGATCATTTACATTGTAAAACGCAACAATCGTATTTTGTAAATAATTTATTCTTGTTTTTTTGTATTTTATATAACCTTTTGTAATGTTGCATATTTGCGACGCCCGGCCTATAGCGAAGACAATAGTGAAAATTATCATAGTTTTCTTGAATTAGACCAAACTGCGCATACAGGGTGATTGATATAAGTGTGCCAGCCGTTTTATTCGAAAGCCATAAGAGATATCAAAAAAAGTTAAATGGTAAGTGCCTTGGACTTTTTATTTTAAAAATTGTAGTCAAGTCAAAAAAAATTTTTAGCCGCCATTTTTCCAATAAGGCCGCCAACTTTGATTTTTCTTATGGATTTTTCCTGTATTTCATGATGTATTACGGTAGAAAATGTAATTTTAAGACGATTCTATTCTTGTGATTTTTTTCATAAACCTAACCGTTTCAAAGATAATAATGGTTAAAGTTGTGAAATTTTGAATAGTTTTTGAATAAAACAGCTGGCATGCTTGCTTAGGCCTTTATCGAAACTCTTTCTTATGCCTATTTTTTAAAACTTTAATTATCTTTGAAACGGTTAGGTTTATGAAAAAAATCACAAAAATAAAATCGTCTTAAAATTACATTTCCTACCGGAATACATCGTAAAATACAGGGTGTTCCGTAAGAAAAATCAAAGTTGGCGGCCATATTGAAAAAATGGCGGCTAAAATAATTTTCTTGACTTGACTAAAATTTTTAAAATAAAAAATCCAAGGCACTTACCATTTAACTTTTTTTGATATCTCTTATAGTTTTAGAATAAAACGGCTGGCACATTTATATCAATCACCCTGTATATGCGACAGTTCATTTTTGTTTGTGTTTTGAGGTGAAAGTAAGTAAAAAATACAAGAACAGTTATAACTGAACAAATATAAAAGCTACATAGGATAATGCAGCATACATACTGCACAGGGATGCAGAAAAGTAAAGACCAGTTTTTTTCAACTATCATATGACATCACCAAATATCATATCCACAGACCAAGCGACGCAGTTATGCGTCAGACATCTCTGTAGACCACTGCAGGGAGGCCTTCAAATAGACCGTTACAAAGATATGAGCGTTTTAATAACATTAGAACCCCGACGCAAATATGCAACGGCAGTCTATTTTAATGTGACTAGCCGACGCATATATGCGACGGCAGTCTATGGGTGGAAACTGGCCGTCGCATATGTGCGTCGCTAGTCCATTTGAATGAAAAATTTCGTACTATTGCAGTAGCGAACGTGTTAAAGAGAACCAAATTTAAAACAACACAGTCAGTAAATATTTAGCCTATATTTTCATTACTGCTGTAACTATAGCTTCCTCATGTCTTAAAGTCAACATACATAATAAATACGCTGGTGTCACTGTCCTTAGTGTGAACCACAGAATCATAATACCGTATGTCAATTGTGTCTTTTAGATATGTGCCTTAAGCAATAGCTTAGATTTTTATTGTTACCACTGACTAATTTTTACTTTCTCCCCTATGACATAATTTAATTTAATTTTATGCTAAGGTTCAAAATTTAACTATTATGAAAATGTGGTAGTAATTGTTGATTATTTTTATTGTTTATTTTTCTCTCTGTTTAAAGTTTATCCATGTTTTTATTATTTAATGTTTAATTTTATAAGTAGATTGTTATTACTTAAAGTGTTTAGAGTAATGATACAATGAATGTACAAATGTTAACTTTCCTTTTATTCTTCCAACTAGGATAATTTTGCACTCTGTCTCTTATAATATTTAGTTTTTAGAAATGTTTATATTTAATATCTGGTAACGTCATATGCATCATTGAATGCCTAACGAGTAGGCGACAATAAACATTTTGAATCTTGAAAGCGTCCTTATCTCTAGTCCTATTATTATGATATAATATTTGATACCTAACGTATGGAATGGTGTAGTAGTATCAACTTACCTGCTATTTGACAATAGGCTGGAAAGTAAGTTTCTGTCAGTAAAGGTTCCTGCAGTTCAGCTAGTATTGTTTTGAGAACCGAAGCACAGTCATGAACTGAATATAAACTTTCACCAAAATCAACCAATGCACCACTGTTGAGTAGTGATTTCAATTCTTGTTGACGAGTTAATTTTCCTGTTCTTCTGAATATTCCTTCTTGAACCACATCTAGAAATCATAGAAAGAAGCTCCATTATATTTTTATGATTGATTACACCAAATACCAAGGCCAAATACATTCAAATACATAGGCTCTGGTGCTAATCATTTACAGTAGTTTGAACAGGGAAACAAATAGATTGAATTTATTAGGCTACTTTATAGTTTTATTTGCTATTGGATATATGGATAAATTTATGTACATATTGAAGAAAACTTAACTTACAATTGTAGCTAAAACTTGAAATAGAACTTCTGTTAAGTTAAGGCTGTGTATGTTTCCTAAAAACAATTTTTTGGAAAATACTTTTAGAAGACATGAAAAAATACAGCGTGTCTGCCAGTTGATCAAACTGAATTTAGTGACTTTAGGGAGACGACGACATTAAAATACAAAAACTTTTATAAGAAAAAGACAATATAAGACAATTAATATTTTTCAATGACTTGAACATGAGTAGTCAGGCATACAATATTTTGTGCCATAGTGATTTTTTAACTGGTTCTCAAAATATTAGTTACGGTACAATAAACTAATAACATTATCGTTATATAAACATCAACTCTGCCGAGTTGCCTAGAATAGAGGCTAGACTTTACCTCAGCCCAGTTATGATCGATTATGTCAATGTCCCTTTGTGTTTTTCATGTTTTTTGTAAACGTGTGTCCGTTCCGTGTTATCATGTTTCGTATATGTTTTATTTATTGAACTCTGTTTGTTAACGACCTTTTGAAAGAAGTGATTTCCTTGAGGCCTGATGATGGTTCAGAAGAACCGAAACTAGTTGCTAAAAGCAGCAACAAATGATGACTATATGTAGGTATTGTAAACCATTTTATTTATAATACAGTAATCAGGAGGCTTAACAACTATTTTAAAATTAAGTTACAATTTTGATGGCAAAAGGCAATGGCCAGCCAAACTATTATTTCCATGATAAAATAGGTTTGGGATCTCATAATAATTACCCTAGTAATAAATAATAAAAGAAGTTGCAAAGGAATAAAAGTGATACAACTTTTATGAGCTTAACTACTGACTCAACGAGTTCTTGGATGGACTTGACTTGACACTTGATTGTCGTGATAAAATGTTAATGGGTTTGAGACTTCTAATGGGGGTTTTATTACATAATTACCGGTACCCTAGTAATAAATAAATCATAAAATGTAAACAAACATCTGCTAAAAAAAAATCAGGCCAAACACTATCCAGGGCCGATTTACTGAATAGGTACCTTGGGCGTGAGGCAGTTGGTTTATTCGGGGGGTGCCAACAAAATTGGAAAATTTTAAAAATTTGTGGTTTGTATTTGCATGCGATCTCGGTAAACTTCTGATAATCCCTCGCGGACAAGTAGACATCATTATTGTCTCCCGTGGGCGAGTAGACATCGTTTCGTCTCCCGCAATTGCGACAACATATTAATTCATTCCTGCAGTCGTTTTTGTCAGAAATTTTGCCGAATTTTCCCGCTGTCATATTGAATTATCGTCTTCCATGATCATGGCATAACATATATGGACATATCCTGCAGTCTTGTGGAGATCATCATCGTCTTCCACGAATGAGGCAAAATCATCCCCCTCGGCCATGTAGACATCATTATTGTATCTGCCGCGGTACGACGATACATTGTAATCGTCTCCCGCGGTCGTGAAGACATTGTAATTGTCTCCCGCGATTGCGGAAAAATGTTAATCATATACCGCAGTCGTTGGAAAATCATCATTGTCTTCCGCAATCACAGCACAATTATGTCTCTCTGTTTCCCATGGTCGTGTGGACATTATCATCGTCTTCTGTGATCGCGGAAATATTCTGATCATCCCTCTGGGCTCTGTAGTAAGTAGATAACATCATAATCTTGCGGGATCGCGACAAAATCATGATCATTTCCTGCGATTGTGTAGACATTATCGTCTTTTGTGATCGCATCGAAATTCTGATCATTCCTCGCAGTCGTGAGTAAACATATATAACATACCGTGAGTAAACATACCTCCCGCGGTCATGGTTACGTCACTGTTGTCATGCGTGATCGTGGTAACTTAAATTGAAAATTCCAGGTAGAAATACCAAATTCACACATAATTCCCGGTAAAAAAAACTTACGTATAGTTCCTGGATCCTGCTATGCAAATGGGCACTACTATTATTTTGGCCTAGGGCGCTGACAGGGTGAAAAATGGACTTGACACTTTCTCAAATGAGCAGCTATGGGAATGCATAGGACAACAAAAGATAGACTTAGAGATTCGAAATAAGAAGTGGCGGTGGCTAAGACACGCCCTTTGAAAGAGCTTGATAATCCTAGGTGATTTTATAATGCAATCAAACCCATCCCATGACTACAATACCAATGAAGCAATGAACTATCCCATGGGGCGGATTGCACCAGACTTGTTTATTTTGTGTATTGAAATTACCAGGTGCCATATTATATCAAGTATGCCTTGTCCAGACACACGGAGATCTGCCCTGGCCAACTTCTTTTTCAGTAGCTTCTGGTGCAAGCCAAATGTGATTGATAACTCAAAGTGGGGATTTTAAGCTAGACGGTAAGCAGTAGAGATTTATGTATAATTCTCAGATTTCCTGAGGGATTGTACCCAAAAAAGTTAGGCTTATGAGGTGCAAAAATGAGGGTGGGTGATGCTAACAGTGGACACGCTATCAAACTTGCAAAGACGGTCCAAACCACCAAGGTTTAGCTTCAAAGATTTTACTACTTAATTTTCCAAAGGCATTGGGCTGGAGAGGGTGCTCCATTGGAAACTCTAGAACTAAGAAGCAGGGGCACAATAGATTTTGTAGGTACATTCTTACATCACTGTGCATCTTTTCTCTGAAATACCATATTAAGCTGCGTTTACACCGGAGTTAATAACATGTGTTTTTAACAAAAAGTTATTAACTTAACAGAATCGCCCAAAAATTTGTCTAAACAAAAGTAATTATCTAAATAGGAGTCGGTAAAGATCACAGGAAATGTGTTATATTTTTAACAAATGTTAGTAACAAAAGTTAATGGTCTCTTTTAACGTGTTATTTTTTGTTAATAACAGGTCCCTCTCTTCCCCGCAACCCCCGCTCCCAGTACCGGTATCGTTTTACAGAGAGTGCGCTAGTCGCCCCTCAGTACCACTCAACATCACAGCTGGTCATGCTGAGGAAATTATTGATGCTTCCTTAACTCGCCTGAAAGAGGGTCACGATCATCTTCTTGCATATCACTCCCACTGTACATAGTCCTTGTTCTGAGTGACTGACAGTTTCACCCAGTATCTCCTAGGTCTCCTTTGGCCAGCAGTGGCCAAAACAACGCACGCAGCTGCAGCAAGAACCAAGTCATCCTCTCGCACCATTGTCTCATCTACAACTGCTGGCTGTGCATGAGCGATGATTCAAGATGGCGGAGTTACTTAATGTGTTAAACATAGCCTAAATGTTTTTAACAAAAACTGAAGTAGCCTACAAAATAATTTCTTAATAACTTTCTGTTATTATTTTTTGTTAATGACTGCCGGTTAATAACTAAAGTCAATTAACTTAATGTTACTAACTCCGGTGTAAACACGCCTTAAGTAGGCCTATCAGAAACTAGGTCAAACGCCAACTTATAACAGGTGGAAAACTATTGAGCTCATTAAAAACGTGAAGTTAGGCTATAAACTAATATGGCTAAGTTAGTTAGCAAACTTACTTTCATCTTGGCTGAGGTATTCTATAAGTTGATATACTTGTGACATTCCATCTTTTGTCAATTGCATTCCCTCTTGACTCTTCCCTGTTGTTTTTATTTTCTTTGTGAATGGTACAAAACTCCATTTCAGTGACCTAAGCTTGGACTTTTCAGGCTGGCTATCACAACTGAAATAAAACAAGTTGGTTATGAAATCTAAATATAAAGATATAGGCTAAACCTACTTTTTAAATATTGTACAGTTCCTATTGTGAGTAAAAAACCAGCTTGCATATGTTTACATACGTTTACAGACATTGAGTCACCTGGGTGATGAGGACTTTTTCCAATTGCCGAACCGGGACCATATGGATACCGTTTGTGGTTGTTCCAACCACTCAACCACTGTTTATTGCACAGATGACTCCAGTAATAAAGAAATTAAAGAAAACTCTTAACTTATACGTCCATTAAATAGTCAAAAATAGATTTTGATATGACAAACCCATATTATCCTTCCTGGCGCTAGGAAAATGTGTTCACTTAAACACATTTTTTTAACCTGCCAGCTGTTCACCCATCAGCCCGTGCATGCGGAATAAGCATCCTTTGCTAACTTACTGGGCATTTTTTTGTTTGGTTTTTCAATCCTTAAACAAGCTGTAGGGCCTACATTCCAACAATAGCCTATCAAAAGCTAGTACCGGTAACCGGTACCTAACTAATAACCTATGCATATATGTTGTTGACATGGGTTAAGATAACAATTCCAATGACATACCGTAAGTTAAATGATGACGAGAATTGGTTGACCAAAAAAAACTAGCCAAGCCTAAATTTAAGCTAATTCTACAGTTTACGATTTCCAATGCCAGTAAAATCAGAAATGAATGAAGTTACTGTGGCCTATAGGATCTTATTAACTTAATAAAAAAAGTTATAATAAACATTTACCAATACCTTAAAGCTACATTAGGCCTAGCCTATTGCATAGTAACATAGGAGAAATTTAAGGTATTTTTTTGCAGGTATTATTTTTAAAGCTTTCCTTAGGCCTATAGGTTAATTTTAACATTAGCCTAGGTATATTTGTCATTAAATTGGTAGGCCTAGATTTAGATCACTTGTAGGCTACAATGATGGCAATTTTAACAGTTTAGCCATGTTCACACGAGACAGGCAGGTTAGCTGCCACTAGTTAATTTCAAGATAAGTTACCTGAGGCAGGTAACCTGCCTGCCAACTGGCTTTGTGTTTACACGGCTTTACTACAGTAACCTAAAGGTTCTTTCTATCACTTTTAGGGATCAGTCCATGGGTTTTGGATGTGCTGGAAACCAAACCCCATTCCTCCCACACTGAAGTGCCGAGACACTAACCACTTGGCTTAGACCTATTTAACTCAACCGGGTACAGTTTCTTAACTGGCCTACGCTAATATCAATTGAAAATACCAATTCGGTTAGTAAACCTTCATTCGATTTTTTTCTAACTGTAGGGCTAACTTAGGCTATCAATTATAAAATTGAACTGTTATAACTTAACCTAACCAACCAAACTTGCTGATAATGAAAAAATCGAATGAAGGTTTATACAAATAGAATCAATATTTTCAATCAAAATTAGCGTTTCAAGTTAGGCTAGCCCAGTTAAGAAACTGTACCCACTCACCCTTTAACTTAGGCCTAGTTTTTTCAAGTAGGGCTGGCCTAGCCTAATTACTTGAGCCTAATTAACTCAAAATTAACAAATAGGGCTATAATTGCTACCACTTACTCGTCAGTATTTAAATCCAAAACAAATGACAGGTGCATTCTAACTAAAGTGTGAAATTGAACAGGATCATCATACTTCAATCTCTTTGCTAAAGTCCAATCATCACTTAATTCTTGAGATGAATCACTATCCATTTTTCTTTGTTTAGAAGTTCAGCATAAGCTCATCAGCTAATTACTAGAAAATGTGCCATACAAATTATTAAACAAATTGAATCAATGTTAATTTTACTACCCATAATAAAATATGGCATATAGGCCTAGCTTAGACTTTTTGGTATGGATGAAGAAAGAATTGTCTCTAAATATTTTGAAAATAGTTATTCAATAATGTAGTCATTAGTCAAGCATGTAAAATAGGGCAAGTAACTTGGAAATTGTAATATCCAGTTGAATTAACCTCAACCGTAACCATAATGACCATGGCTCCGAAGTAAATAAAGGGTTGTTCTGAGCTATTCACTTCAAGATTAGATTAAACACACATGACACTGGATGACATATTAATCACAACAGAGAGTTTTAAAAAGAACGCACTACAATTATTAACCAATAATTAATTTAAGAAGCAGAAACGTTATGCACATTTTGATTTGAATCAACTAAAAAAAAGTTAGAAACTACACTAAACCACCACACCAACCGACCAACCAGAACCAACCACCGGACCGAAACCGGACCACCCACAAACACAAAAACATTTCAAAAACGAAATATCAAGAAGAAAAAGCATGAGCAAGAACCAATCAGCGAATCAGCTACATCTACAATCTACCGCCACCGCCCAGAGTTACCTCCTCTGAAGAGCTGTGGAATGAAAGGTAAAGCCAGTACATGTATACATAATAAATTATTCTGTATAACTAAATTATATACAGTCATAGATAAAACATACCCCCTTGTGTTGGTTAGTCTATGATACAGTACACATAAAAAACGTCAATCGTGGGGTCTCATAGTGCATAATTCATATTTTGTCCTATAGTGCATAACTGTTATGCACTATTCCTCGCTGAGACTTTACCTCTTGTCGCAATACAATGCGCCTTAAATGTCAGTGTGCGGTCCAGTATGACACCAAGATATTTGGGTGTAGATATGACAATGCTGAAGACGGTCTTCCCGCCACCTCCAAGTTCAACATATATCTATGCGTTCAACTCACGGCCTGCTTCTCTATTGTTTAGGTGAAAGGCACAAACTTAGGTCTTAGCAGGGTTCGGCTTGAGGTGATTTGCGTCACAGTAATTTCTTCTTTGACTGCTCCAATTTTAAGATCATTATGAAGTGTTCTGATGGTAAACAAACCAAGGTGCGTTGACAATTTTACGTAGGTATAGTAATTTTGATTGGTAACGTTGAATAATTTCAATGTTTGATGTACTTGCTGATACCCAAAGCTGGATCCCAAATTGGAAGTCCAAATTGGTTTTAGAATTGTTTTGTTCAGTAACAATTTATTTTATCTAAGTTTTGATTTAGATCCAAGAAGCCAATAAAGTTTAGAAGTTCAGTTGTTTTTAAATTTATAGATGTTGTCTTTTAGTCCAGATATGTGACTTCCAATTAAGCTTTGCATCTAAGTGCATGCCCAAGTATTTTATTTCTGTTACTTTTTAGGAAGGCAAATATTGTTTATGGATACTGGAGGAAGCCTGATTTAGGGTAAAAGTAATGTGTACCGTACTGATTTGTTTTCATTAATTTTGAACCTTAATGTTTTAAACCATAATGTGAAATTTCATCCAAGTTTAGCTGTAAATTTGCTGTTGCCGGATTGTCGTGGACAGATAAAATCACCGTGTCATCCGCAAATGTGGCAACCATATAGTGTTAACACTTTCTGGTAGGTCCGATGTAAAGAGAATATACAAGTGGTCCAAGTACGCTTCCTTGAGGGATTCCTAATTCCATAGGGTAAAGGTCAGTAAGTAGTTTTGATGTTTAATTTGGAAAGTTCTGTTGGTATGATATGATTTTAAAATAGGAAAAACTGAATGATGTAGTAACTTCTTAATGTTGAATAGTAAGCCAGAGTGCCATACTTTGTCAAATGCCTGACTGACATCAAGGAAAGCAGCCGAACAAAATTGTTTGTTTTCCAAACAGTTTCGAATTGTATGAACAAACCCTATGAACCTGTTTACGGTGCCATGTCTAGCCGTCTAAATCCGAATTGGTGTCCTGGGATGACGTCGTCTTCTTCAAAAAGAGCTTGTAGTCTTTTTAGGAACAATTTCTCAAACAACTTAGCCACTATAGGTAAGAGACTTAGGTCTGTAGGAAGTGATTTCATGTGGAGGTTTTCCTGGTTTTGGTATAACAATTAATTGAGCTTTTTTTAAATTTATTTGGTATGTGCGGTCTAGTCTAAATATAGAAATAAAAGAGAAATGTCATATAAACAATTCCTTTCCTCGGCAGCTCTTTTAATATTTTTCCAGAGATAGAACCGTAACCAGGATATTTTGTAATTATTTCGGATTTAGTGGTTTGTCAATGGTTGCCTTAATTACTGTAGGCCTGAATTTTTCCAGAGGGAAGTCAAGTTGAAGTGGAGAGTCCAAGAACGCTATTATTTCTTCTTCATTATTATTTATTAACCACACCTACATTTGGCTTGAATACATTGGAAAAGTATTCCCCGAAAGTTTCAGATTTTTCTTTCACTCTTGGCCCAGCTTCCATCCGGTTTACGAATTGGCGGGATTTAAATTTGGGGTTGCTCAGCCTTTTTGTGACTTTCCATAAAGAGTAATCCGTAGCTTCCGTAGCCGACAATGATTGAGTATATTCTTCAAACCATCGGGTTTTTGTGTCGTACAATAATCTTGTCCAATTCCGTGCTGCTCTGTTAAAGTTGGCTTTATCATTTGGGTTCCCTGAGTTTTGCCAAATTCTTCTGATTCGTCTCATTTCTCCTTTTCTGCTATCTTTTTCATTGGTAGCCTAGGCCTATTTTCTCAGATTTTTCAAGATTAGGTACAGGTGTGGATTCTTGGGTAGAATTTTGAATGCTGTCAACAAAAAGTTATCAACATCCAGCAGCTTCTACATTTTCAGGACTACGTATACCTGTATGTAAATTTAAGTTTTGATTTATAAAATTTTGAAATTGATTCCAGAGTCTGTGTTTTTACTGAAAATACGTTCCCTGGTTCTTTTTGACATATTTCAGTACTTAAATTTAACATAACTGGTGAATGGTATGAAGATAAGTCAAGACAAGATTTTACTTCAGTGTAATTTTGGTTAATACATTTTGAAATAAAAAAATCCAACAGATCAGGAATTTTTCGCATATCAGTGGGCCAGTGCCAGAAGTAAGTTCACCAGTTGAAAAATTGTCATTTATTAATCTTAAAGGAAGGGATAGCATTTGCTCAAACCGCGCGGAATGGTAGTGAAGTTGACCACTCTAGTCATCATCATGTTAGTGAACAAACCACAGAATCTCACAATCTGTCTGACATTATAAAAAATTGTTTCTCACGTCTTGAGAGCACATTATCTAAACAAACAGAACACATTAATACTTTACTTAATCTTCTTACCACCGTTATTGCCCGCCTAAAATGAATATTCTCCTTAAAGTGGCATTATGGAATGCCAATGGCTTGGCTCAGCATAGCCAAGAGGTTCAATTATTCATTACTCAACACAAATTGCTTATTTCGGAACTTATTTTACAGATAGGCCCAAAACCCTTGGGGATGCACAATTTTTAATTCAGTTGTGGTTTTTCACAGAAATGAGAACATTCTTTTGGCTGTCATTGTGTGACGTCACTCTCTTCTCTTGAGGGTTGAGTTGAGACGTCATCACTCTTTGATGCTTGTTGACCTACAGTTTATAGTGGAATCCGAACCACATTTTTGCCTTGATATTAACGAATTAATATAATTATCAGGATAGCACTGCAGATATTCGTAGTACTCACTAGTGCGGACGTTAATCCACACCAGGGAGTATCCCATCCACAGTGCATGCCTATAAATATCCACAATTCGTGAACTCCTGACAAGGCTAATGAAAGTTTGGCTAATGGTAAGAGCTAATACTAAAATAACGTTTTAGAATAGAAAATGTTCAATGTTTTTTCAGGTTGAGGGTCTTACTAGGTAGGTATTTTGGAAGGCAGAGGAAAACGCGCACGTCTCCTAAGGGCACGTTCCAAAGGGGAATATTGAACCGCCACGGGTTTTATGACCGTCCAGAGATACTTGAACCGCCACGAGCATTAGTGCGGATTATAAGGGTCAGTTTTGCAGGGTTGAAAAACAGTTGAACTGCCACGCGGGTTCTGCAGGTAACGAGGGAACTTTTTGAAATATTTATCCCTCCATTATCCCACTTAGATATAGGATGGAATAAGAGTTAAGATATAAGGAACAATAATAATTCAAGCAACAAACTGTAGTTATTAGTACAGGCCATCATAGTACATAACTCTAGTACAGTTGTCATAGTATTATTATATTTAAGTGTAGCCAACCTATTTCCAAGCGTACCAGATTACGTGCATAATAAAACCACGCTGTTTTGTGTTGTTTGGTTTGAATCCCGATGTGCGCCAAATCATGAATCGTACGACAAAGTATAAAGCGTGTGACAAAGTAAGTAAATGCAGCAATCACCAGCTTTCTGTAGGCCTACTATAAACAGTGCAAGGAAGCCAACTTTGTTGGGTGACTGTAGGAAAAATCTGTTTTACCCTAATCAACTATACGTCAAATATATCACAGACTTTGAACTGTGATTATTTTTATAACTGACGCACAATGTGGATACAATTGTGGACTTGAGAATCGCAGTAAATGTAAATCATAACATGGTTCCTTTAATATATTTAAAGCTAGCTTTGAAATACTTTTAAGTTGTCATAATTAGTTCTTAAATTGGTTATATAATTTATTAAAAACAGCTATCTTATCGAAAGTATTGTATCAGTTTTGTTCATTAGGTCATGGAATCCTGGAAAATAACTGGTTTGTTATATACTTTAGTTGGTTTATAGTTGTTATTTTAGAGCCAAGAACTAAACAAGCATGGTATAAATATAAAAATATCAAAGTTGAACATCCCATAGTTGATATAAGCTTGTTATCAATAAATAATTCCTAATAGTAAAGATGCAAATTGTATGTTGAGGATTTAAGCGAAAACAAAATTTACCGTCTTACTGCATGCTTATGTTAACAGTTATGTACAAATCTAGGCATATACCGAATACCACGCCGTCTATACTATGCGTGAATTCTTCGGGTTGCCGGAAGTTTACCCCCTTTACATATTTCTAAGATTTCAGAGAAATGGCCAAGTACGGCCTGGAATTTCAAACCCCCCCCCCCCCTCAAGAAAAACTATTTGTGTAGCTTGGTTGGAGTTTTACCCCCTGTACAAATTACTCAAGTGTTCACAAAAATGTCGATGTACGGGCTGGAATTTCAGGCCCAAAATGAGGCTAACACAAAGACATGAATTAACGTACAAACGAATTCGGTCAAATTAGCAATAATTGAGTTCTAGAATGTATAATGACAGCACATTCTGTAATGGATTCAAATTAACCTGGTTTTATATCAGAGCTTCTTAGCCGATATGGTGACA